GACAGCTTCAAACCAAAGTTCTCTGCGCTGATGGCTCGCCATTTTGACTCGTCGTGGAACTGGGCGCGCCAGGATCTACTCGAGCTCTACTACCGGCTAGTACTGGGGAAGGTCACCAAAATCGATCTCAGCATGGCATCTAACTGCCTCCACTTGGTGAATCGTCTGACACCCAGTATCATGGACAGCCTGAAGTTCATTGTGAGCCATTCTAGTCAGCATCTCACACAGGGGCATCGACTGGCACACAAATACGGGCTTGGTTTGCTTGAGCGATGCAGCGAGTGCGTGGGCGGGTCTCCAGTTTACCAGTTTCACAGCCAAGCTGCTTGCTCCGTGTCTCCAAATGGACCATACCGGCAGCGTTGTGTACAAGGAGGTCGAGCGCCCGGGAGAGCAGTCCATAGCGGACTACGTATCCGCAGTCACTGATAGAAACTCGTCGCAGATTGCTGCTACGCTGAAGGCAAGCCACGCGGCGCTAGACAAGATGATTGAGCAACTCGAGCTCTCACACATGTTTGCTCCTGCCCAACAGAAGCTGGATATGCCCAAGGGCAAGCTGCCCCCAATGGTGCATTTGCGCAGCAAAGTCCGCGACCCGACAGTCTGGGAGTATGACCCGGCTCTGTCAGAGTCCTACACCAACGCCCTAAACGACATATGCGAAAACGGCCTGACGTTCGCCAACAAGACAGCCCTGCTCACCGGCTGCGGACGCGGGTCAATTGGCGTGGAGGTGCTAAAGGGTCTCCTAGAAGGTGGAGCCAGCGTTGTCGTCACAACTTCCAGCTACTCACACAAGACCATGCGGTATTTCCAAGACATCTACCAGAGCCATGGATCGCGTGGCTCGCAGCTGGTAGTTGTACCCTTCAACCAGGGCTCGCGCCAGGACATCGAGTCGCTTGTCAACTACATATTCGGCGATGCAAGCAAGGGCAGGTGTCTGGGCTGGGACTTGGACTATGTGCTTCCCTTTGCTGCCATCCCTGAGATGGGCTGCGAGATCACCGATCTTTGGTTCGCAGTCCGAGCTTGCCCACCGCGCGATGCTGACAAATGTGTTCCGCCTGCTGGGAGAAATAAAGCAGCACAAGAGCAGGCTCGGCTACGATATGCATCCGACGCTGGCAGTGCTTCCCCTCTCACCCAACCATGGGTGCATTTGGAGGCGACGGGCTATACGGCGAAAGCAAGATCGGGCTGGAAACCCTGTTCGGTCGCTGGCACTCTGAGTCCTGGTCGTCGTTTATCACCCTGTCCGGAGCCGTTATTGGCTGGACGCGCGGCACCGGGCTGATGGGCGCCAACAACATCATTGCTGAGTGTGTCGAGAGATTAGGTGCCCGCACGTTTTCCACAGAGGAGATGGCTTTCAACATCCTTGGCCTCATGCACCCGAGGATGTATGCGCTGGCGGCTCTCAGCCCCGTGTGGGCCGATATGGCCGGCAACTTCCAGTACTATCCGTCGCTGATCGGCTCCACTGCCACGCTGCGCCATGCCCTGCGCGACGTCGACACGATCCAGAGGGCAGTTGCCGTGGATAGCTCCCTGGATTACACCTCCATCGCCGGTAGCGAGTCTGAGCGTGTTTACGGTTTGTTCGTTGCCCAGAAGCGTGCCAACCACCGTTTTGCGTTCCCAGAAGTCAAGTCGTATGAGCAGCTCGACCATCTTCACTACCTGCAAGACATGGTCAACCTGGACAAAGTCCGCTGTCGTGACTGGCTACGGCGAGGTTGGTCTATTTGGCAATGCCGAGCTGCGCTGGGAGATGGAGGCACACGGCGAATTCTCGCTGGAGGGCTGCATTGAGCTGGCGTGGATCATGGGCCTGATCAAGCATTTCAATGGCAAGCTCCAAAAGACAGGCAAGGCGTATACTGGCTGGATTGACGCCAATACGGAGGATCCTGTGCGTGACATTGACGTCAAGTCCAGATACGAGAAGCATATCCTGGAGCACACGGGCATCCGCCTGATCGAGCCTGAGCTTCTGGACGGCTACGATCCGAACAAGAAAGGAATCATGTGCGAGGTCCAGCTCGAGTACGACATGGAGCCATTTGAGGCAGCTGTCGAGGAAGCGTCGCAATTCAAGCTGCGCAATGGCGACAACTGCTGCACGTGGGCCAACGACGATGGATCGTGGTCAGTCAAGCTGCTGAAGGGTGCGACGATTATGGTGCCCAAGGCTCTGCGCTTCGGACCGGCTTGTGGCTGCTCAGGTTTCCGACGGGCTGGAGCGCTGAGCGCTACGGTATCCCCAAGGACATTGCCGACCAGATAGACCCAATCACCTGCTATGCCATTGTCGCTACAGTTGAGGCACTGGTGCGCTCAGGAATCACGGATCCATACGAGATTTACCAGTACGTGCATGTGTCAGAGATTGGTAGCTCCAGCGGCACGGCTCTTGGTGGGCTAAAGTCAATGAAACGCGTGTTTGCAGAGCGCCTGTGTGACAAGGACCAGCAGCCAGACGTTTACCAAGAAACATTCGTGACTACGCCGCCAGCCTGGATCAACATGCTGCTGCTGTCCGCCTCTGGTCCGATCAAGACGACAATTGGAGCCTGTGCATCAAGCGTTGCCTCGATTGACGTCGCCATCGACACTATTCTGTCAGGAAAGGCCAAGATCATGGTTGCAGGTGGCATGGACGGGTTCAGCGAGGAGTCGTCGTATGAGTTTGCTCAGATGAACGCAACTTCAAACTCGGTCGAAGAGTTTGCCCGTGGCCGCACGCCCAAGGAGATGTCCCGGCCATGCACTACAACCCGCTCAGGGTTCATGGAGGGTGAGGGCGCGGGTATTGTCATAGTGATGTCGGCATCCACTGCTCTGCAGATTGGCGCTCCAATCCACGGAATCTTGGCCATGACTGGCACAGCCACCGACAAAGGAAGGTCGCTCGGTCCCAGCACCAGGCCAGGGTGTCCTGACATCAGCCCGTGAGCGCACTGGCGCTGCTCCTTCGCCACTTCTCGACATCAGGTACCGTCGGCGCCAGCTCAGGAGGCGCCAATCGATGATTAACGAATGGCGGCGCCAGGAGCTCGACTACATGCGTCAAGAGGTTGCCGAGTTGCGCCAGTCGCCAGCTGGGTTGGCATGCGACGAGAGAACCTTTGTCAGCGAGCGCACGGAGTTCATTGACCACGAGGCAATACGCCAACTGCGCGAGTCCACTGACCTGTGGGGTAACTTCTTCTGGCGCCAGGACCCACGCATTGCACCTTTGCGCGGCTCACTGGCTGTGTGGGGACTGACTATCGATGACATTGGCGTTGCCTCATTCCACGGCACCTCGACCAAGGCAACGACAAGAATGAATCAGAAATCATCGACTGTCAGCTCAGGCATCTGGGCCGCACCCCAGGGAACCCGGTGCTGGCTGTGTGCCAAAAATGGCTGACTGGCCACCCGAAAGGTGCCGCTGCTGCCTGGATGCTCAATGGGGCCATGCAGATCTTGCGCACTGGCACTGTTCCCGGCAACCGCAATGCGGACAACATTGCTAGTGAGCTTGAAAAGTTCGACCATGCTGTCTATCCGTCGCGGTCCATCCAGACGGACGGGGTCAAGGCTGTGCTGCTCAAATCGTTTGGATTCGGCCAGGTTGGTGGCGAAATCCTAGTCATACATCCGGACTATCTGTTTGCTACTCTGGGCAGAAGCCAGCTAGATACATACAAGGCCAGGGTCATGGGCCGTGAGCAGAGCGCATACCGCCACTGGCACAACACTCTCACGGGATCCAGCACATTCGTTCAAATCAAAACCGAGCCACCGTATACCGCTGAGAACGAGCAGAAGGTGTATCTGGACCCGCTTGCGCGCACCAAGTTCGACCCGGTTACCAGAAAATATACGTTCTAATACTAGGCACTCTGATTTTCTTTTCCCAATTATTGACGCTATCCATTTGGAATATAGTTTACCACACTTGCATCACTGCTATATGCTGACACGGATGTAGCAATCTGGCTCAATCGCTGTACTTGATCGAGAGTTTATTTGGCTGGATACAGAGCCGAGGGACCTGTTTGCAACTTGCATTTCTATCTGACAGCTCCTCAACGGTAACCAGAATGCACATGCAGCGCGACAATGGTACCACCACTATCGGGAGTGGTGTGCGGCCACAGCTCAACCCGACTGGTGGCAAGAACCAGTGTGCTATTTGGAGGGCATTCGCCAAGCGCAGGCCTGGCCATGGTGCTGCTGCAGGCAAACGTGTGGACATCGCCAAAGTGCCTGCTGACTGCAGGTAACTCAACGCAAGCACGAGCCGCTATGTACATCATCTCATGGTGGTTGACAGTACATGACGAATATTAGTTTTGACGAGGAGAAAAAAACATGATCTAAACCGTCGTTCTCACAGCTCATTCCAATTTATCCAGCTGGTCCAGCCGGCCCAAAATAACACTGCGACTCGTCTCCTGGATCTCGCCTGCCAAGATCATTTCGTCCAGCACCTGGTACACCCTGTAGAAGTTGAACACCAGATCGAGCTCGCACACATTGCCATGGTACGAATCCAAAACCTCAACAAATAGGTGAATTGCCTCGAGGTATGCCAGCTCGTTGTCGTTCGTGTCAATGCAGAAGCAGAAAAACAGGCCTGCGTAGCGCCGGTATACGACACGGTGGTTGTGGAACTCGACAAAGTTCGACTGGTGCTTCTGGTCCCGCGAGGCGACTGTGCGGTGCACTTCGGCTTTGAGCTTCAGCCGCTCTTGCTCTGTGTACGTCTGGTACCACTTTTCCAGCCGCGTTTTGCCCTGTCGGTTCTGAACCAGGATAAAGCGAATCTACCAAGGCATGTGTCCGATACGTTTAGCTAGGAGAAAGCCATGTGCATGTTTGGTATCTCTGCTAGGCAATACTGCGCGCTTCGTGCCCACTGAATTCCTTACCATGGCTGGGCTCTATGTAGAATGTGTGTAGGAAAAAAGGAGACGAAATTGGACGACAAAGGTACGAGAGGGGGAGAATCCTTGCAGCGCTTGCAAAACGGCTTGTGTATTGGCCAAAACAGAAGCTTGCAACTATGGAAAAATCGGCCACATGATTTTCAGCGGCGGCCCTTCTTGACGACCTGGAAGAACTCGTCGCCGCCAGCAGCTGGTCCCGCCGAGCGGACCGTGTCCTCGTTATAACGGCCCTTGGAGCGGCTAGCGCTGCTGAAGCCCACGATCTGGCCCCAGTTGGCCGGCGCGCTGCTCAGCTTTCCGTGCTTCACAGCGGTGTGGTCGGCGCGACGGCGGCGGCAGAAGTCCTCGGCAAACGCACGGCCGTTAAGAGTGGTCGAGTACGCGTACACCTGCTCAGCAATAATCTCGAGCGTTGATTCGGGCGCGTGCAGCGGGAACGTCAGCAGCATCTCAATGAACTTGTTGGCGTCGATGCCCCGCAGACCGCTCAGACGCGAGTGGCACCACTCGAGGAAGTCCATAGACGGCAGAGCGGGACCGAGGCTGCTGACGACCACCTTGGCTGCAGTGGCTGGCTTGGCAGCAATAGGGCTCTTAGCGGCGATCGGGCTGGCGGCAGCCGAGAGCGAGAGGGCTGAGGTAGTGGGTGATCCAGAGGCGTTGCCCCAGGCAGGACCACCGGTCAGGAGTGACGATCGGTGTATTGCGGGCCTCGGCGGCGGCTGCGCTGGCACGGGCGCTGGCAACAGCAGCCACGTTGGCAGCGGCAGCATTTGCAGCGTTGACAGCAGCAACAGCCTCCGACTCCTTGGACTGCTCGGCCATGATCTCGGCCAGCGAGCGCGTGCCAGACGCGGATCCGGCGCTGCTGTTGAGGCGCTCGGCGTAGCTGGAGCCAAAACCGCGGGTCGACATCAGCTTGGCCCGCTGCTGGTTCTCGGCCTTCTGGCGCTTCTTCATGGCCTCCTCTTCCTCCTGCTGGATCTGCAGCAGCGACTTCTTGGGCTGCTTTTTGGCCGACGCCGTCTTGGACCACGGGGCGGGGCTCACCGGGGTGGACGGAGTGGCTGGGACTGAGGCAGTCGGAGACTTTGGCTCAGTTGGCTTGCTGGTCTGAATTGCGCTGGGAATAGCGGCGGCCTTCTTGGTCTTGGCAGCAGCCTGCTTGGGCGCCTTCTTTGAGGCCTTCGTGTTCTCAGTCGCAGGCTCAGCCTCGGCGGTCTCCTTGTCTGCCTCCGCGCTCGCCTTCTCCTTGGGTTTCTCAGTCTTCTCAGTCCTTCGATAGACACCTCCTTCAGATCCTCGCCAATAGCATCGACTGCTGCAGAAACATCCGGAGCTTGCTTCTCAACCTCCTCCTTGGTCTCAGACTCAGCAGCGGGCTGAACAGCAGCGACCTCCTCCACAGACAGGCTCCGTAGTGGGGGCAGGGACTGTAGGAGCAGGCGTCTCTGGCTCGGGAGCAGAAACAGGTGCCGAAGGCTGTTGCTGCTGCTGGCCTTCGGAGGCAATCTGGGTGTTGAGCTGCTCCAGCTGCTGCTTAATGAAGCCTAGGGCTAAAACCGCGCCGTCGCGCAGAACCATATCGCGGATCACCGGGTCTAGCTTTGCCTCAAGGTGCATAATCTGGGTTGCCTGCACCTGGATGTACTGCGTGTATTCGCTGCGGATCCGGGCATCAGTGGCCATAGCCTCGCGCTGCAAGGCAATCAGCGCATCGGTCTGTACAGGCACGTTGGTAGTCTGAGCGTTCATGTGCAGCTGGCTGCTCTGCTGCGCCAGGGTCTGCATCAGCTGGTTGATTCCCTGCTGCATCTCCTCCTGTAGGTGCAGCGCCACCTGCTGGCACTCGGCGATGCCCGACACCAACACCTGCTGCTCCTTCAGCAGCATTGCCAGCTGTACCGACTGCGACGCAACTCCATCGGCAAGCGCAGCGTTGGCCTGCGGCGAGGCCAATGCAGATGACCCACCCGCCCGACGAGGGTCAGCCGCAGGCGAACCCACCGGAGCAGGCGCACCGACGGCCGGCGCACTGACCGGGACGGGCGCAGCAAAGACAAGGTTGCTGGACAACCCCTGCTGCGTGGCCAACGGCTTTGCGTCACTCTGGCCACCGCTGAGGGCCTTGTTGATCGACATTGGCTGCTCATCGGCTGCCGACGAGTACAGCCTGGTGGTGCTGCCCGTACGCGAGATCGCGCCAGGTGTAGCGGGCGAGCTAATCCTACTGGGACTCGCCTGATGCCGCTGTGTTTCGACAGCCAGCGCTGCATACAGAAACAGCTTCGGGTTTCCACCAACCCTCGACACAAGGCTGCTTAGAGTCTCGAACCCTGAGCCACCTTCGAGGCATACCTGCAGGTTGGCCGGGAAATACCCGCCCGAGTGCCACTCCTGCATCTGGGCGGCCGTGAATGGGCCCTGCACACTGCCCTGTGGGTCACGGTACCACCACTGCGAGGCCTCCGCACGCTCCAGCAGACGCCTTTGCTGGAGCGTCATCGGCGTGGTCGACGCCGACTTGATCGCTGGGTCCCTCCACATCCCGCCGTCGTCCATTGAGGACCGCAGCGTGCCACCACTAGCAGCAGCACCCGAGCCGGTTCGCAGCAGGGCCGGGTTTGGCGAGGCTGCTCGGGACGAGTACGTGCTGGTGTTGCGGTGCGAGGAGGACCACATGCTTTCGCGCCGCGACGGGCCCTCCAAAGCCTCGTCCTCATCGCCTCCACCACCCATTCGGAAAACGCCGTCAGCACCAAACATCCCCACATTTTCTCGATTAATCGACTGCGCAGCCCACAGGTTGCCGTCGTCCTCGCCATCTGGATCGTCGGCAAGCCCGCCTGCGTTGCCGGTCTCAATGCTGTCGTCATTCCTGCCATACCCACGGGTTCGCCCACGGATGCTACCGACTGCACCGCTGCTACCGTTGCCCTGGCGATGGTATCCGCTCGAGCGCGAAGCGTAATTGGACGGCGACATCTGTCTTCCACCCTGCTGTTGACCCTGCTGCTGGCCTTGCTGGCCCTGCCCGTATCTCTTGGGCATGTTGCTGTTGACGGGACCGGCGAAAATCTCCTGTTCCTCGGCTGTCATCTCCGGTCATGCTGACTGGCGATAAAGCCTCGCTGCTGAACACACGCTGGTCGACAACAAAGTCCTCCACAACCGGCTGAGCATTGAAAAGCTTCAGCATTGCCTCGTGTGTGTAGCGGAAGGGTCGGTCTTCAGCTACCTGCGACGATGACGACGGCTGCTGCTGCTGCTGGTTGATACCGGCAGAAATATTGGGCGCCTTGTCACCGGCTGCGCTGCCGTGGTTTGTCGGCTTGTTCGACGCGGGCGCACTGCGCATCCTAAAGTGTGAATTCAAATTCAAATCGAGGTCAGCTTCGATGCATTCGGAAATTGTGCACCGAAAGGAATTGTCCAGGTGTCCTTACCACTCGGGTCCAAAGTTAAGCTTGGTTGCCATTTTTGTTGCTGCTGCTACGTTCTAAGGTGCGGGGGAAAAGTAGGTGGGTGGGTGTCTATTACGCTCGGGATATGAAAGGGCACATTGAGTTACAATTTGAGACTTTGCATAAGAATAACCTGCTGCTCTGGGTCTATCGTTTCGTAGCGAAATCCCGCATTAGCCTACCTTTTCGGGGGTTATCTTCAGGTTGCGTCGGTGTCTGCCACAGAAGAAAAGACTCTGGTTTCCTTCTTGAAACTGTATTGAATGCTAATTCAGGCGGTTGTTCTGCAAGGTGAGCGAAAAACTCTAAGGAAGAAGAGAAAAGTTATGCTCAGCACAGCGCCCCAAAGCCTAGCAGCTCTTGCTCGAGTGACGCCGAGGATGACACTCGATATTTTTTGCTTGATCGGCTGTGATCCCAATCAGGCCTGGAGCTGATTGGGGCGTTGCGGGCCCGGTGCCCCATATGGCCGCATTTGGGCGCAGGGACGCCCAGGTCCCCTCGGCTTCCCTGTGCCAGGGTGACATGGGGCTAAAGCCCATCCACATACGAAGGGGATGACCAGAGATGCACGCATGGTGGTGTCACGTTTGGATGAAATGGCATCTGGGGGTGACTGCTGTTGCAAGGCAATAAGTATACAATGTCAACACGGGCACGGTGCCAGGATTTTTCCTGGCACGGTCCACAGACCACTTGTGCAAAGCTTACTTCAATTCTTTCTGGCCGAAAAAGGAATAGGTGGGTTTATTTCAAATTAGTTACATAAGCCTCTATGCAAGGCAATAAAGATACAGATATGATGGGAAAGAAGCGAGCTGTGCCGGTTACAGCAGTCTTTTTTTTCTCACCGCGAATAAACGCGGGCTGCGACCGAGTACATGATATCGCGGACCCGCTCAGTCTTGGACGGTCTGATCGAGAAAGACTCTGTGTCGTATCGTGTGCTAGGAGCGGATAGTCTGGCGCGCATGGCAAACGACACGCTGCTAGAACTCGAGCGTCTCCTCGACGCCTGGAAATTTGTGTTGTTGCTGTTGACAGCAGGCATGGTGTTGTTGATGGTCTTGGACTTGGGCTTGGACTTGGATATATTGGCAAAGTCCTGTGGAAGAGACAAAGTATAGAGAAGTGTCGAATAGAGAGGAAAGAATAAGGAACTTGAGGATGCGCGATGCAGGCTTTTAAAGGCTCGCCAGAAAGGCAGGAGAAATGCTCGACGTGGTTCCTTGCATGGGCATGGTATCGACGCATTCGCAAATATTGGTCAGCTGTTTTGGAAGCTTCGGCGGACACGGTTCCAAAAGAGTAATGATAAACAATAGCAAATATTAACCTTGTCCGACTGGTGCAGACTGGTTCAGACTATCGATTAGTCATAGTCGGCGCCGACAGAGGCTGCGGCCAAGTGCGCATCCCTAATTTGCTGCACCCACTGAGGAATGGTGTCAGATGCGGAATAACAAACAAACTGTGGATAGCTGTCGGCACTCTTGGGCGATGAAAGCTGAACAGGTTTACAATCCAGAAGCCCAACAAACTCACCCTGACTGCGGCCAGGGTTGCATAAGCATTTTTAGATATCCTCTTGTCCTCTCCTACCACTGTGGGCCACGCCTCACCAGGGGGTTTCTTGGCACGATTCGCAGCCCACAGTCTGTCCAGATGGATCAACCTCGGGTGACGCGTAACCGGCGTGATGGAATCTTGTCGGGGTGTCTTGGCTGGCTACCTGAGACATTGCGAGTAGCCTGTCCTGCCAGACACCGGTTGGCACTGGGATGGGCCGCTATAATCATCCCAGCACCTGCGTACGCAGCATGCGGCATGCTCAGGTAAGCCAAAAAAGATTAAATCCCAGGACACCGCTGGTGCCCAGATACCGCTGCAGTCAGCCTGCATCTCGCTAAACAGAGTCTATTTATCGGTGCTCAATAAAATGCTATCCTGCCACTTGGAACCAGCTCAGACGTAGGAGATCAGGCGGAAAGCTTGGCAAGCTTCTGGTTGAGCTGCTCGATCTCGGTCTCAAGACTGGCCTTGGAAGCAATCTTGGCGATCTGGTTCGCCTCCAGAGTCTCGCCGCTGTTCTTGCGCACCTCCAGGGCCTCGATCTGACCAATCTTCTTCTTGATGTTCCGCACCTTCTTCAGAATATCGACCTCGGTCATCGGCTCCTCCGGCTTCGGGGACTCGGGCTTGGCCTCGGCCTTCTCCTCGCTGCTCTTCTTGCCGCGGTTGCGGCGGCGATTCTTCGACTTGCTTGCCTGCTCCGGGCTCGCACCCACAGGCACCTTGGCAAGAGCGCCAGGCACAACACGGTTGGCATTGACAACGCCGCCAAAGGCCTTGCGCTCAGCCATGTCAGACAGAGACCGAGGCGAGTCATCACCGGCTGGGC